AAAATAGGAATGTGGCAAATATTTTGGGCAAAAAGAGGAACCAATTTTTCCTTTTTTTACTACTAGATTATATTGCCATTTTTCAATCTTATCTTTAGTAAAACAAAAGGCAATTAAATCTAGAGTATTCATGACACACTTTGGATCCGTTTGTTTCACGGAAAATATTACATTTCTGGAAAATGTTTTTTACGAAAATGACAATATTTTCCGAGTTTTTTGCTAAATCTAAAAAATAACTGGAAAATATTTTTCGTCATTTGGAAAGGAAAAAATATAATTTAATTTTCCAAAACAGACATATACTCTTTGGTTGCTAGTGACTTGCGCATAACCGGGAAATCAGGCACAGGCACTAGGGTCACGGGTCCGGCCTCGACAGACCTAAGCTCGGGCACCGAGGACCCAATCTCGACGCGTGGACTCGGACACAAGCTCCAAGATCCTAGGCCCGGGTTCGAGCACCGGGGATCCAGTCTTGGGCCTAGCCTCGATGAACCCGAGCTTGGGCGTAAGGGATCAGGGCACAGGCATTAGGGTCTCAAGCCAGGTCTCAATAAACCCAGGCTCGGATGTAGGAGATCCGGGCACCGAGGCCCTAAGCCTCAACCTTGATGCACCTGGACTTGGGCACAGGAGATTCGAGCACAAGAACTAGGATCTTGGGCCCGGCCTTGAAGGACTCGGACGTAGGCTTGGGTGCTAGGGATTTGGGCATGGGTTTTGGAGTCCCGAGCCCGGCTTCTGTGGACCCGGGCCCGACCTCCATGGATTAAGGCGTGGGCAACAGGAACGCAAGGCAAGGGCACCGAGGTGCCAAGGAGACAAGCAATAGTACCGAAGTCCTAGGCCCGACCACTATAGACTCGAGCTTGGGTGTTGGGGACCCAGCCACGGGCACCGAGGTCCCGGGCGAGTGCTGGTGTCCCCAGCCTCACCTTTGTTGACTCAAGCTTGGGGGGCACCGAGGTTCCAACCCTGGCCTCGTTGGACTCGAGCTTAGCCTCAATGGACTCCAATGGACCCGACCCCAGCCTCCAGACCAAGGTCCTGTGCAAAGGACCCGAGAACGAGCATTAGAGTTCTTGTGCCCAACCACTGATATCCAGTCATATTTTGGAAAATATTTTCAAATTTTTAAATGAGGAAATCATTTTATTGAATTTAAGCATAAGTTTTTTAGTTGACTAGAACAACATTTTCCGTTGAATCATTTTCCTAAGCGATCCAAACACCAGAAAAAGAGGAAAATATTTTCTCGGAAAATATTTTCCACAAAACAAACGGAGCCTTTGATGTAGAAAAAGTTTTACACAAGTAGTTTTATACATAATAATAGCTTATTTCAGCTTATAAAATATTTGAGCAACTTAATCATATTACTTGTTTTAATGAATATCTTCAACAAATACTTGTTCCACGAATAAGAAGAATATGTTAGTATTACCATAATATTACATGGAAACCTGACCCGACCCTACCCATTGACACCCCTAGTATTATGTGATAGAAAGATGATTCCTACAAGTGAAAAAAAATATCATGATGAGACCTATACTAGGGACGTAATGAAGCCAAGTTCGTTCGATGTGGTTGCCATTCGACTTTGACTTGAACTCGATTGAGTTAGAAATTCAGTTTTAGTTAAAAGTAATAAGAAACTTGACACATTTCGACTCAAGTAAGTTGATTATCCTACGATAAATTCTATAAGCTCGACTTACGCGGAAGATCAAGCTGGTGTCCTCGTGTGTGGATGAAAAAGTGCATGTTTGTTTTGAATTTTTCTAAGTGAGAGTATTTTTCTTTTTGTTCCTGTAAAAACTGACTTTACGAAGTCACGAGAGGTTCTATATTTTTTAATGAGTTTGAATTCATGTATAAGCTCAAAATATTCCAATTTTAATTAAAGTCATATCTCAAATACTGAAAAATAGTGAGATGAGATTAAAAGTCAATGCAAGTGCATATTATCATCCAGTCAAGTTATATTCTTGGTCTCTGTTAGCTGGTTCATGAACGGACCATAAATATATACATTTAAGTCCTGAGTGAATTTGTCTCACTATTAAATTTCTCATTTTCCCCCATTTACCTATTATTTTAATATTGTAATGCAATTTAGTTTTTCTACTAAAAACTACACATAGTGAAATTCCTTAATTGGCTAACCGTGCAACAACCAACTCTATCCTTCTCTCATTTTCTTTTTCATAGACTTTGAATGAATTTTTATTTTATTGTTTTAAAAGTAGCAAAATTTTCATTCAACGTTGTAGAAAAGTATTCATATATTGGTAAAAGCGACATAATGTTAAATATATTACCGCTCCATGCCTCCTTCTAAATAAAGTCACTAGCATTATTATTAGTTCATCATGACGTTACACAAGGTATGAAATTCGCGTGCATGAAAACTAGTATATCTAGAGCCCATTATCCATCAGATTTGTGAGAAACTTGGAGTCAGGGATCATAAACCTCAAATTCACGTATTTATCCTTGAGCCCTTCAAATTCAAGTTAAACTAGATGAAAATGGAGTTGAATTTTAATGGCCGTTTGCTTGCCTTGTCCACGTCATATTTGTTTGCTTGCCTTGTCCATGCAAAGCCACCACGTCAGATTCTTAACAACCGTCTTGGAAGGAATTGTGACTGACTGTGTTTTTTTTATCTCCGGTACAAGTTTGGAGCAATGACAATACGAATAAAAAAGTTTGGGGTATTGTTGTCGCCAATGGGCAAAATCTAGGGTTTTTGTGGTAGATGAAGGGTATTTTGATCACACTTGTACAAGTTTGGGGTATTAGTGATATGAAAAAAAAAATTGAGGTATCAGTGTCACAATGGGCAAAAATTAGGATTTGTAACGGTAGATGGAGGGTATTTTGTCATATCAGTACAATTTTGGAGGTTTTAGTATCACAAAAAAAAATTGAGATATTAATGTCACATTGTACATAATTTAGGATTTTTCATAGTACTTTTTCTTCTCCAAAAAATAAAAATAAAAAATAGTACTTTTTGTTTTCTTTTTTTCATATTTCTCTTCTGAAATATCATTAGGCTTGTAGAATCCATTAGATCAATTGCTCTGTTCACTCAACTTGACATAAGTTTAGGGAAGATTTTACATTTTAGTCATGCGACGTTGGATAGTTCAACAATTGGCATTCCCTATTCCGTTTATTATTTTCTTTGAAGTAACAAAATACGAAAAGGAAGAAATTCAGAGAAACGCAATTTATTACAACTTTATATTTGTTATCCTTTAACCACTTCAAAAATTAAAATTGTCCATGTATACATATTCAGTTTTATATTGTGATGAGAAATTTCCATTCAGATATTTGAAAGGCTTTAAAAATGCTTCTACAATTGGCTGAAAAAGATTATTTCTTTTAATAGGGTGGAGTCGCTTTTCTTACTCACAAATGAATATATCCATATCCAGTAAACGTGTAGATTGCCATAATAGATTGATCACACACGTACGATCCCTCATGTGTCATTTTCAGTTAACATAACAGATCAATCCTGAGAAACTAATCTAAGTTGGCTCCTTTGTTATATGGCAACTCCTGTTTCAGATTCACTTCCCCCAAAAAGATCAAACCTGAGATAATATTCTAAGTTGGCTGCTTTATCTGGCAAGTAAATGATAATGCTCTTAGATATGACAATGTTTTAAATCAATGAATATATGAACAAATTGTCGTACTTGGTCGAAGAAATACTACCAAATTTGCGATGATTTTTTTTTTTTTTTGTAAAGCTGAGATTGCCATTCAGACGAAATATGGTTTGCATATTCGGCAATGGGATGTTTATCCTGCTCTTTATTTATTTTTCATATCTGTTATCACTTTCTTGTCATTTTAAATGGGGGCTGACTTGGACTACTATTCTACAGTTTCTCCTTCATGATATTTGAGATGCGCCGAAAGAACCAGGGTCTAAGGACCAAACATGCGTAAATGGAAATTTAAAGCTTTACCTGATAATACAATCTAATTTGATGAAATTGGCATGTCTAATGAATAATTTTATTGTCATTTATATGATCAATTCAGATTCTATCATAATAGCAGAGTTGGTTTACTATCTCAAGTACGCTCTTTTTGTGGTGATGAAACGCTAAGATAGAAAAGCAAAATTTTAGGATTGATGAATGGTGGCCATCGAGTGGGCAGTGAGCTTACTGTCTCGATTGAAATTGCAGGAGCCATTTTTTTTAACAACCTAAGGGCACGAGTGCAGCGGCCTAATTAACTAGAAGTCCACAGAACATCCTTACAAACCCTTTGAATTGATTAAGTCCTAAACTTTGACGTGTGTAATTTAATGTTGGGAGTTAAATAGGTACCTCCAGTTCCTAAGCTGGAAACACCCTACACTTAACCAACCACATCAACTCTATTCACTCACAGCCATTACTTTTTTGAATCTCTTCATGTACATTTTACTACTTTTTTTTGTCATATGTACATTTTACTTCTTTTTTTGTCATTTATATGTACATTTTACTTTGAATAGCCAAATTTTGAAGATTTCTCTCTAGCAAAATGACTCAAATCTCGACTGGATTTTTCTTTTAAGACATAGATGGTAGGAAGTCTCTACTTGAATATAGTTGCTTCAAAAGATTTTCGTACCATACATCGATTTGTGTTTATCATTCGAGTTAGTTACCTTGTCATGCCCCCACCTAACCAAAAAAAGAAAATTAACAAAAAGGGAAAAAAAACAAAAAATGAACTAATCGCTAATTTCGGCTTTCATAGTACCCAAGCAAACTGAATGTAATACTACTGAAGGAAAAGCATGATGTCTAGTATATGATGGCACAACCTATAATTAGGTTGCTCCATCATATACTAGACATCATGTTTTTCCTTTAGTTTTCTTCAAATATCTATCGAAGGTTTGATACAAGCAAGTACTACGTTTAGTATTTAAATATCCATAGATCGGCTGCTTGAATCTTATTCATGAATGATCAGCCCGTGTTTCCCAGCGGGCTGAAAAAATCATTCAGCCCTATATAGTCTACCCATGGAGCACCTGTTGCCGGCGGGGCAGCAAAATCAGCATCGAAATTCCCAGCACCACCAGAGTCCCCATGATGATGGTTTACCTACGCAAGTAGTCGAAAAGGAAATGCGTTCACTTGTCAAATGATGTCGATGCCATATGAGATCTTATTCTCGGTCCTGGGCTTCATAAAAAGTCGATAGAGTACGGAAGAAGCCTGCACATCAGTAAAAGTCAAAGGTTTAACGTCATAAAGGCAAGGTTTTGATTTTGAAAAACCACTTACGAGTGCATACTTGAATTGTGTTCAATGTTCATACTATCAAGATGGTGGTTTTCCAATAAAATGCAAAGCGTTATAGCTCTTGCAAGTAGTACATGCAGAATTTCAACATGTACTTAGGACAATTCAAGAATCTTCCTATAGAAGTGATCTGATGCATTCTTACTAGAACCATCGAATTTCTGCAAATAAATCATCCAAAGCATGCTTAAAAAGCCTCCTTTAATACACAGATTGTCGTGCAAAATCCTGTCAAACTGGGGAATCATACAAACATAACAGGTACTTAACCATGCAAACTGTTATTCAACAAAAATACGTGCACGCGTGGAGTTAATATCACTCCAATCAAACGTGAAATGTTGCTCAAGAATAAGAACCCCTAACAACTTAAATTTGAAAAAAGAAAAAAGAAAATGCAAAAGCCAAACCACAACGCATAGATGAAAAATCAACTAAAAGTTTTCAACAATCAGGAGGGTAGCATGGTCATACATATCAGACTTGAAGAGAAACTCAAAACAAGCTAAACGCAGCATCATCATGAATCACCTCGGCATGATCAGGCAGGGCAAACTCATGCAGCGTCCAATCAGTCCGAGCAGCATTTTGAACTGTATTCCCCATGTAGAAAACAAAGCAGCTCTTGGTCCCCAGAACCTCACCACCACCACCCAGGACAGCGTGGTCGCCCCTGCCCCTCATCAGCCAGAACCCACTGTTCACGGCCCTCATCCTGCTCTGCCTTTCAGCAGGCCCACGAGCTGCCGTGTAGAAGTACCAGTGCCTTGTCGCCGCCCCAAAGCCATACTCGAAGAAAGGATTCTCCGACAGCTCCGAGGGGCTGTAGCCATACACATCGAGCTCCCTGATCACATTGTGATCGAAACGGTTGGCCAGGTTGGGGTTCGGGCGGTCGTTCTTGTTCACCAGGTAGTAGCGGAAGATCTCTTCATCAGAAGGGAAGAAGCGGAAGCCCGGTGGCAGCACGGGCATCAGTCCCATGTTCTCGTGGTTCTGCTCGTTGTTGGCAGGAATGTTTTGGCCACCCATTGTTGAGAGAGAGACAGACAGACAGACAGAGAAATTTGATGGCTTCAGGCAGTGAGAGAAAGGAGAATGAAGTGAAGAAGAATGAGGGAGTGGAGGCTTTTTATAGGGGAAGAAGAAAGAGGTGTACATTAGAAGCAAACGAGAGAGCAGGGGTATGAGACTGATGGGTTAATTCAAAAAAAAAAAACACCAACTTTAGGTCAAGGGACAATTTTGGCCAGAGCTTTTTTTTGTTTCATAAAAAAGCATCAACTTTAGGTCGAGGGACAATTATGGCCCGAACTTTTTTTTGTCCCATAAAAAAGCATCAACTTTAGGTCGAGGGACAATTCTTGCCCGAACTTTTTTTTGTCTCGTAAAAAAGCACAAATTTTCACTTAAATCCCAAATCTGGCCCTTATTGACTTAAAACAATTGATTTTCCAACTTGACTATTCCACCTTAGCAATAAATCCACGTGACTTGCTGACTGGATTTAAAGCATTATTCATTGTCTTATTCTCTGAACCACAGCTTGAAGAATAACGGTGAAACTATTCGTCTCATTCACTTCACCGTCAAGTCAAAAATATCTCCAGATTGAATCTTTATAGCCAAACTTCGTCGTTTTGTCGTAATCTAAAGCTGTAGACCACCGCCCGTCGACAGACGCCATGGAAGAGATTCGCCAGGCTCACCACCATAACTTTTTTTCTCAAACAAGGGTAACTTCAGACAGAAAGTCAATGAGGGGCCAAATTTGAGATTTAAATGAAAATTTGTGCTTTTTTACGAGACAAAAAAAAGTTCGGGCCAGAATTGTCCCTCGACCTAAAGTTGATGCTTTTTTATGGGACAAAAAAAAGTTCGAGCCAGAATTATCTCTCGACCTAAAGTTGATGCTTTTTTATGGAACAAAAAAAAGTTCGGGCCAGAATTGTCCCTCGACCTAAAGTTGGTGCTTTTTTTTGGAATTAAACCTGACACTGATAGTGTTCTTTCCTTAACGAAAAAGAAAAAGCAAAAAAGGACATTCTTGTCTTGCCCTAAAAAGGCATGCCTTATTTTTTTTTTTTTGGTCAAGAAAAAAAAAGGCATACCTTTTTGCTTGTCCTTTTTTGGCATGGGTTGTTGGATTGGATTGAGCAATTGGTCTTCTTCCGTTCTTTTTCTCTTGTTTTGGCAGGTAGGAGGACAGAAATGGCTGGGGCAAAAGAAGAAAGTACGAATGTGGCAAAAAATCTGGACAAAAAGAGAAATAATCTTTTCCTTTTTTCAATTACTAGATTATATTGCCATTTTCAATCTTATCCCTCGTAAAAAGGCAATTAAATCTGGAGTAATTATGACACACTTTGATGTAGGGAAAGCGCTGCCTTTGTTTCGGGTTCGATTTCTTATACCGTCTAGAGAGAAAAGTTTTACTCAAAATGTTTTATGCATAATATTAATAGCTTAGCTCAGCTTAAATAATATTTTAGCAACTAAATCATATTACTTGTTTTTTGGCATGGGTTGTTGGATAGGATTGAGCAGTTGGTCTTTTTCTGTTCTCTTCTTCTTGTTTTGGCAAGTGGGAGGACAGACGGCTGTGGCAAAAGAAGAAAGAACACAAAAGGAATGTGACAAAAATCTGGACAAAAAGAGAAACAATTTTTTCCTTTTTAGCTACTATATTATATTGCTATTTTCAATCTTATCCTTCGTAAAAAGGCAATTAAATCTAGAGTAATTATGACATACTAAGGCAATGCAGAAAAAGTTTTACACAAATACTTTTATACATGCTAATAGCTTGTTTCAACTTATATAATACATGAACTAGGAATCATAATACTTGTTTTTATCAAAATCTTCCACAAATATTTGCTCCGATAAAAAGAAGAATACGGTAGTATTATGGGATAGAAAGATGATTCCAACAAGAAAAACTTTAAAAATGATGAGACCTGGGATGTAATGAAGCCAAGTTCGTTTGATGTGGTTACTATTCGACTTGACATGAGTTAGACATTTAAGTTTGAGGTAAAATTAAAAAAACACTAACATTTTTTCGACTCAAATTTGCTAATTATCCTAAGTTAAATTCAATAAGCTCGATTAGGGCTGGAGATCAAACTAGAGTTCTCTTGTGAAGATGAAAAGGTGCATTTTGATTCAAATTTTTCAATGTAAAATAATTTTGATTTTGATCACGCAAAAAATGACTTTAAGAAATCAAGAAAGAGTTCTATATTTTTAATGAGTTTAAATTCATGTATGCACTCAAAACGAAATTAATAATTCCAATTTAAATGAAAGTCAAATCCCAAATACTGAAAAATAATAAGTTAAGATTAAAAGTCCATTCCAATGCATAAATTAACCATTCCAATCGCATTACTTGTTTTCATCAATAATTTCGACAAATTTTTGCTCAGAGAAAATGAAGAATATGTTAGTATTATGTGATAAAAAGATGATTCTTTAAGAGTAAATGTCATGATGAGACCTATCACTAGGGCCGTACTGAAGCCAAGTTCGTTCAATGTGGTTAGTGTTCGACTTGAGTTGAGCTTGATTGAGTTGGATATTTACGTTTGAGTTAAAAATAATAAAAAACTTAACATATTTCCACTCAAATTAGTTGCTTATCCTAAGTTAAATACAATAAGCTCGACTAGGGCTGGAGATCAAACTAGAGTTATCTTCTGTAGTTGAAAAGGTGCATTTTGTTTCAAATTTTTATAAGTACACTATTTTTCATTTTGATCCCGTAAAAAACTGACTTTAAGAAATCACGAAAAGGTTCTATATTTTTTTAATGAGTTTAAATTCGTGTATACACCCAAAAAGAAATTAAGAATCCAATTCAAATGAAAGTCAAATCCGAAATACTGAAAAATAATAAGTTAAGTTTAAAAGCCAGTTGAAATGCATATATTAACCAATGAAATCGTATTCTTTATGTCTATTAGCCGGTAAATGAGTAGACTATTATTCTATATATTTAAGTCAAAAGTGAGTTGTGTCTCGTTACAAATTCCTAATTTAGCCCTTATTTACCTATTTTTAATTTCGTAATGCAATTCAACTTTAAAGAGAAAAAGGTAAAGCTGGCCAAAGAAAAAAGATAAAAAGGTAAAATAAAAAGTTTACTGCCCATTTTCCACTGAAAATTACACAGTGAAGTTTCTTAATTGTCTTGCTGCGGAACAAACAACTTTATCATTGGCTCATTTTCTTTTTCTTTTCTTTTTCTCTTATTTTGGCAAGTAGGAGGACAGAAATGGCAGTGGCAAAAGAAGAAAGAACAAAAAAGGAATGTGGCAAAAAAACCTGGACAAAAAGATAAACAATTTTTTCCTTTTTTTACTACTAGATTATATTGCCAATTTCAATCTTACCCTTAATAAAAAGCAATTAAATCTAGAGTAATCATGTCACACTTTAGCTCCATTTATTTCGCGAAAAATGTTACATTTCTAGAAAATATTTTTTAACAAGTTATTTTCTAGGAAAATGACAATATTTTTTTATGTTTGTCTGAATTTGAAAAATAACCAAAAAATATTTTCCGTCGTTGGGAAAGCAAAATCTGATTTGATTTTCCAAAATAGACATATAGTATTTAGGCGCTAGTTACTTGCGCATAACGGGGGAACTAGGCACGAGCATCAAGGTCCCGGGTTCGACCTCAATGGATCTAGGCTCAGGCGCCAAGGATCTAATACTAGCATTGGGACTCGGACACGAGCACCGGGATCCTAGGCCCAGCCTCAAAGGAGCCGGGCTTAAGTGTCAGGGACCCAATCTCGGGGCTTGGCCTCGATGGACCCAAGCTTGGGCATAGGAGATCAGGGCATGGGCACTAGGGTCTCAGGCTCGGTCTCACTGGACCCAGGCTTGAGCGCAAGGGATCTAGGCACGAGCACCAGGATCCTGGGCCTCAGCCTTGATGGATTCGGGCTTGGGTACAGGAGATTCGAGCATGGGCACAAGCACTAGCATCCCGAACCCGACCTCGATGGACTCAAATTCAGGCTCAGGCGCGTGGGATCTGTGCACGGGTTTTGGGGTCCCAATCTCGACTTTTGTGGGCCCGGAGCCTAGCCTTCATGGATTAAGGCGCCAGCATCGGGAACCTGGGGTATGGGCACTGAGGTGCCGAGGAACCAAGCAACAGTATTGAAGTCCTAGGCCCGGCCTCTATGAACTCGGGCTTGGGCATTGGGGTCTCGGGCACGAGCACCAAGGTCCTGGGCACGAGTGCCGATGTCCCGAGCCCCACCTTTGTTGACCCGGGCATGGCATCGAGGTTCTATGCTTGGCCTCTTTGTACCTAGGCTTGGCCTCTATTTCCTTTACATCCCGGAGACTCCGAGGCTCAAGTGAGACCAGGATGGGCACAATTTAATGTCTTGCCCAAGACGGAAGTATAAAGAAAGATGGACCACTTTTTTTCTTCTTAACATTGCTTTTCATTTTTTTTTTGGTAAAATTTTCATTTTTATTTCAGGTGTCCTCTTTTGCTAGTAAGTTGAAAACAAAATAAATTTCTGGCGGAGAACTTACCTGGATAATGATTTCCATCGTTGATGTTAATTGCCAACGCATGTACTACATGCCAGCAACAACGAGCCTTTATTTATTTATTTTACTTTTTGGGAACAAATTCCTTGCCAAATTTTGCCGTCCTTTGCATTTTGAAATTAATTTCGTAATTTTAGTGTTTATTTTAGGTCTAATACCCTAAAAAATCCTTAATTTTAGGTCCAATCTTAATTTTACCGTAAACTTTTTTTTATTCCATAAACAAACCCAACTTTAAATCCAATCCCAATTTTACCATAAATATTTTTCTTATCCCATAAAAACCCCTAACTTTAGATCACGTCCTAATTTTACCGTCTAGTCCCAATTTTACCCTACTTTTTTTTAATATCATAAAAAAAAACCACCCAATTTTACTTGAGTCACAAATATGCCCCCGTTAACCCTCTGTCCAAAATTTCTCGTGAACAACCTAGAGATGTAAAACT